ACCCCGCGCCTCCGCCTCTGAGCTCTGCACTGTGGGAGGCAGCTGACAGTGGTCGCCAACACAGACGAGTTGCTGGGTGCCTCGGAGGATCACCGGCACTATGGCGGAAAGCTCGGTGGCCTGGGCTGCCTCGTCAATAAGGATGCCTGCGAAAGAGAAGGAGGAAAAGAAGTCGCCCCCAGCAGCGATGGAAGTGGCGCAGATCACCTCTGCGGAGCGGAGCACGCGCATCTGCAGGTCGTAGCGCATTTTTGGGGTCAGGCCCTTCGCCTTCCCTTTCTCCTTTCCCTTGCCTTTGCCCTTGTCCTCTTCGTCCCTATCAGGTGTGGCGTCCTCATTCTCGCTGTCTGAGCCCTTTGCGTCTTTCTCCTTTTGTTTCATCTCCTCGTGCGCTTTCACCAACTCTCGTTCGAGAATTGTCTCCAATGTGATTTCATTGATGATCTGGTTCACCTTCTCCGGCCTCCCCACACGCATCACATTCACACCTTGCGCCCGCAAACCCATGGCGATGTTGTCCACAGCGACGTTACTGTCAGATGTTGCCAGCAGCGGGCGGAGCCCAGCTCCAGCCCACATTTTCAGAATCTGAACAGACACATGTGTCTTCCCTGTGCCAGGCGGACCCTGGATGATCGTACAGGCCTGCTCCAAAGCAGTACCCACTGCTCCGCGCTGCGATGAGTTGAGGTGTGTCAACTTCGGTACTTCGTCCAAGGCTGCCTGGATCTTCTCGGAACTCTTGGTCTGGGCAGGCCTCGACTTTGCGAGCTTCCGTGTCACAGCCTGGTCCTGGGCAGACCGACAAGTACCGATACCGCTGCTCCCCAGACTCCTCCCGGGTGGTGCGCTCTGAGCAGGACTTCGAGACGAATCTAGCGGTGGTAACGAGGGCCTCCGATGGAGGCCAGAAAAGGGGGAAAACGGGCGGTGGGGCAGCGGAATGAGTACCTTTCCCTCCTCTGAGGTTGGTCCTTCGCGCGTGACTTGGTCACTGGAGCGGCAACGCTCTGGGCCTTCCCACGCCAGCGCGCAACCCAAGAATCCACACCCCCGACCCTGGCGGCGACCAGGAGCTCGCAGACATTGTTCCGGGGCTTCGTGATGAGGTTAAGGAGTGCTTGCAACTGCCTCTCGTACAGCGTGCCGTTGGCAGACCGGAATACCAGAAGAAGAAACAATTGCATAAACATGAACGTTCGGCGCTCCGCGCGGATTTCTTGGATCGGCCCCTGGGCCCCCAGCGGCGCCTCCGGCGCCGCTCCTGGCGCGCGGAGGGCGCCAGGGAGGGGGGTCCAGCGCAGATCCAAGAAATGCGCGCGGAACGTCATAAAGTTGTGTCTGTGCCGTTTTTTCTTCTTCGAAATACGTTCCAAGAGCTCGTCATGGCGTTGTCGGGCCACGAGCCGCGAACCTTGACCACCATCTGTGCAGCCTCGCGACCCTTGCCGCCCGACTTCAGGTCTGCAATGGTGCCCTCCAGCTTCATGCCACCCTCGCTGTCCCCAGCCTCCACGAGACTCACGGAGTCGCCCTTCTTCAAGGAAGATCGGTCCATGCCATGGCTCGGCAAGTGGAGAACCCCCATTTCACTTCCTGGGTCTTCCCAACCTAGGGCATCAGTCTTCCTCCCGTCCTTGCGGCCGAAGACACCGCCGCACTCCAGACCCTGGAGCTCGGGCCCCGAGCGCCTGGCCTTGCGCCGGAGCTGCCGCAGCTCCTCGAGGTGCTCCAGATGCAGCAGGGCACAGAAGTGGCCAAAGTACTCGGCAGCAGGACCAGACCCGTCTGGTGCCAGAAGCCGGCCGCGCAGCTTCTGCACGTCCACCCCGCTCATGACCCGCAGCGCCTCCTCCCGAGCCGAACCACTGCGCCCTCTGGCGTCGGCGATCCGCAGACTGTCCGCCTGCCGGCCGCCCTTCCGCGCGACGAGCCAGCCCGACGGCGGCGGGGTCTTGGAGCTACGACTCGTCCATGCAAGCTCCTCTCCGCCAGTGGTCTTGCGCGTGAAGACCCAGCCCTCGTCGGCACCCTGCTTCTTCCTGTAGTGGACCACGATGACGTCCTGTCGGTCGCCTGCACCTTGCTCCTCCATCGCAAACGCCATCTTTTCAGCCTTCCCAGCGCCCTTGTCCTTGCGTCTGGCGGGTCTTTCATCATCGCGGGCTGGAGCTGTCTGACCTACGAGCTTCTCGTACACTGGCTTGTGGTGGCAAGTCATCTCAGTGCTCAATTGGTAGCGACCGTTGAGCTCTGGCCTCGCCAGGCAGCCCGTGAAACATATGAACTTGGGCGCAGAGTTGCTGCTCGACTCGTCGTCTGTCATGTTAGCTGCGGCCTCCTCAAGCTCCCGCTCGGCCTCGGCCTTTTCCTGCGCGTCGAAGCCTTGCGGCAGCAGCGGTAGCGCAGGCGACACTCTCGGCAAGCCCAGGTTGAGCCACAAGCGGATCTGCTGCGCGGGTGCGCCCTGCTGGATGAGCGCTCCCAAGCCCCGCAGGAATGCCTCCACGCCGATCGTAGCGCCGCTGGAGCCGACGAGCCCAAGGGCCATGGCGAACTGCACGGCGCCTGGGCGTCTGAAAAAAACAATTTCCTCAATACCTATACGGCCACCCTTCGGGTGATATGGAGGTTCAGGGGGGGGGAGGGGGCACCAACGTCTAATTCAATCGGTCTCAAGTCGATGGAAACCTCATTTTTACAGCTGATCCCAATATCGATCTCACGATCGATCTCACGATTATTCTCACAACGGATATCACGATCGATCTCACAATCAATCTCACTATCGATTTGACAATCGAACTCACGATCGATCTCACAAGCGATCTCCTGATCGATCTCAAAACAGATCTCAGTATCGATATCCAAATCGATCTCCCAATAGATCGGACAATCGCACTCACTATCGATCTCACACTCGGACTCACTATCGTTCGCACAACAGTGATCACTACCGATCTCACTATCGATATCGCAATCGATCACACCATGGACCTCACTATCGGTGTCACGATCGATCTCACAATCGATCTCACTATCGATGTCACTATCGATCCCGATATATATATATATATATATATACATATATATAAATATAATATATTTATATATATATATATTAAACGAGCGATCCCACAATCGATCCCACAACAGATCCCACAATCAAGATTACAACATATCCCACTATCGCTACCACAACAAACCTCACTATCGATCTCACAATCAATATCACGATCGATCTCACAACACATCCCAGTAACAGTCGATCCCACTATAGATCTCACGAGCGATCTCACGATGGATACCACCATCGACCTCACAATCGATCTCACAACATATTTCACGATTGGTATCACAATATATTAAGTAGTCGATCTCACTACAGACCTCAATCTCAATCTCACCATCGATCTCAAAACAGATCTCACAATCAATCTCAACATCGATACCACTATCGATTTGTCAATCAGACTCACTATCGCTCTCACAAGCGAGGTCACGAGCAATCTCACAACAGATCTCACCATCGATCTCCCAAACGATCTCACCATCGATCTGACGATCGAACTCACCATACATCTCACATTCGGACTCACGATCGACCTCGCACAAGTTACCACATCGGTCTCACTATCAATACCACAATCGATCCCACCATCGGTCTCACTATCGAGCTCACACAAGATCACACGGTCGATCTCACAACAAATGTCACAATCGATCTCACTGTCGATCTCACCGCCACGCTACCGACGGGACACCACGCGCCACCGACGGGACACCCCGCGCCACCGACGGGACACCGCCGCGCCATCGACGGGACACTGACGGGTCACCGCAGAGCCACCAACGGAACAACCCCGGCGCGCCCGGGGGGAGGGGCGGACAACGGGCTCCACAGCCCCTAGCCACGTCGGCATCATTCCTCTCGCGCGTCCACACAGCTTCACGTCGCCCGCACGCACGACACGAACACGAAACCGAAACAGATTTCCTGGTGGAGGGCTAGGCGTTCCACTGAGGTCTCACTCCTTCACCTCCGATCTCCGCAGAGGAATTTCAGCAGGAAAGCAGAAGCACGAAACGGAGCAGATGTAAGGCACTCATGTGCATCTGCCACCATGTCACCTGGCGGGTAGCAGAGTGGCAGAACGCCGGGGCTCTGTGTCAGAGTGAGGGGGCCGAACGGTCATTCACTGTCCCTGGGCGCGTCGTTGAAGTGGGGTTCCGCGATGCGGATTGTTGTTGCGATGCTGCGTTGAAATCACTTTTCAAAAACTCGCCAGCCCAACTGGCCAGAGGCGTGCTGCAATCACTGGTACCTGGGGCGGCCCCCGGGGGGTCCGCGGCCGAAAAGTACCCCGAGCAGGTCCAGGGCAGGTCCACGGCAAGTTCCCATCAGAGGTGGTTATGCTTCTGGGCGCCGCCCTCAGGGCCTCCCAAGAGCCCCAAGAGCGGCCCAGAGGCCCCAAGAAGCCGTCTAGATGGACCTAATTAGAGGCCTCCGGGACACGATAAGATCGTCCAGGACGCCCAAGGTGGCCCCCAGACGGCCAACGAGGCCTCCAACAGCACCCCCCAGAAAGCCAAGAGGCAAAATTAATAGATTTCCATTCGTTTTTGATGGATTTGGGCGTTCTCGCCTTTTCGGCTTCCCGACGCTCCAAGACACCCCGAGATCGCCCCAACACGGTCCAACAGGCACCAAGGGGGCCCAGAACGGCCCAAGAGGGCTCCAAGACGACCCAAGACGCATCCTATACGGCCCACAAGAGCCCCAGGACGGTCCCAAAAAGGGAACCATAATCAGGGGAAACCTCAACGGAAATTCCGAGCTCTCGGCCCCAAGAGGCGCCCAGGAGGTCCCACGAGGCCCCCAAAAAGGCCCACAAGAGGCCCACAAGAGGCCCCCAAGAGGCCCCCAAGAGGCCTTTTTTTCCCCCAAGCCCCCAGCGGGTCCCGCCACGGGGCTCGTCCGCCGCAGACTGCGGCAAGCCTCAGGCCTGATTGGCCTGGCCCAGATGGTTGCCCTCCAGCTCGGACGTCACGTTCACCATGCTCACATACTTGAACGCCCCCCTCGGCAGCTTCTGGAGCTGCTCCTCAAGCCCCTCGCCGCGCTGGCAGGACGGCGCCCCGCTCCATCGGCTTGCCATTCTGCGGGTTCTTACCCGCCAGAATCCTGTCCCGCTTTTTCCTCTTCGCATCATCCTTGGTGGATCGCCCACGGGGCGCCAGCGGGCCTGGGCAGGCAGCCCCCAGACCCGCCCGACGCCTTGCCGAGTGAGCACCGCACACCACGCACACCACGTACGGGCCATGGACTTCGACACGATGCGGCCTGCCCTGCTCCTCAGGCACAGCACGTTCTTCGCGTTGTTCTCCAGGCCGCGCTGCTGCTGGTGATGCTGCGGCTGCGGCCGCCGCTGCGATGGCCACGCTGGCCTCCAGCGAGCTGCCTGTTCCCGCACTGCTCGTGCCTGTTGCCTGCCAGAATGGTCGTGCGCATTCCGCTTGCCACATCTTCAGGCGCATGCGATTGGATGCCGCACGAAAGCCACACCTCATGCACACCTGCCAACCGCCCGTCTCCACGACGTCGTGCTCGGTCAGGGTCAGCATCGGCTTCGGCACTCTTCGCTTCGGCACACCTTTCTCTTTGGGCGGCACGTCTGGCCACGTACCGCCCATCTTTTGGTACCACCAACCAATGTTCTGCAGCGCCCAACGTACTCGCCCTGCGAGGTCCTCCAGCGCTTGGTGCTTGCCGTAGTGTACATCCATCTCCGCGCCCGCCTTTGCCAGCAGGTCCTCCTCGCTGCTGCCCTTCGCAATCTTCAGGTCCTCACCCTCAAGCTGCCCGATCCTGCTCTTGGACCTGTGGGCCTTCACGTGCTTCACGCAATGAATATCAAGGTCCAGGTCCTTCACCTTATGCCAGATCCTTCGCCACAGGTCTGCGTGTGGGCGCTTCCAGCTCGTGCACCACAGCTCTCCTCTCTGCAAGCCTTCCACGATGCCCTTGTGGTCTGTATAGACTCGTCCTGGCGACAGCATTCGCTCCATCACCTTGAGGAAGGCCCACATCTCGGCTCTCTTAACCCTCCTGTGGATCGGTAGCGAGCACGGCAGCGGACCCCACATCTGCATCTTCGCGGTGCCGTTGTCGTTGAGGGACATCGCTGCCCAGCCCGTCTGCGCCCAGTCGCTGTATCCGAGCTTCGAGCCGTCGCAGACGATGTCGCCTGTGCAGTAGTCCTCCTCACCGTCGACCACTTGTCCGTAGTACTGGTCCTCCTCGATACCCACGAACTTCCAGTCCGCCTCTGGCGACCTCACCAGCCCGCGCGTCCACGGCATGTTGGTGTCCTGCTGCTCCGCCACGTGATGCCAGTCCGCCTGCGCCTGCAGCCGCTGGCCCCTGAGCGCGTGGCACTTGTAATACCGATGATGATCGGTGCCCACCGCCTCTCCACAGGCCAAGCAAATGTCCGTGGGTACGATATTGCACCTGCACAGCTTCTCCATAGTCCACGCACCTCCGACGAATACCTTTTTCGCCGCATTCCTCGCGTGCTTCGGGAAGCCACGTGCTCGTAGCTGCGCGACAGCTGGCGCCAACAACGGCATTGGGCTCAGGCTCTTGGACTCCTCCGCCTGCGTCCATTCCTCCCAGAGGGTTGCCTGCACGTCCTTGCGCACCATCGCCGCGATGTCCATGGGGCACACCTGCTGCATGTTCAACACGAAACCCTCCTTTGAGACGAAAGTGTGCCACGCAGGCCATGTCCACGTAGCCCTCCTTATTCACATGATGACTGCCCCTGCTGGACCTCGCACTCGGGCCCAAGCAGGCGTCATGCCGACCTCCTGCTGCTGCCGCCCCCATGCCCACTGCAACATAGTGGCTATGTTGTCCCATTGACCTCCTCCGTCCTCGCCGTGTGCGCCATGCCATAGTGCCCGCGCCCACCTCACTATGGGCGCCTCTGTGACCTCGTATGTAGGCTCCTCCTGCGCAACTGCCAGCTGCAAGGTGAGGCTGCGGGCTCCTCGTCCCTCTGGTAGCAGTCGCCCTGCCTCTCGCCGTAGCTGTCGGAGCTGATGGTCTGGCATGCCCAAGCACTTGCATCCATACATAACCGAGCGCTTCAGGCCACACTTGTACACCAAGCCAATACCCCTGGTCATGTTTCGCCCGCCCTTTAGAGCGAGCAGCCTACGACTCCTGACCTTCATGACAACGTGCCTCTTGCCGCTCTTGGTCTTCACCGCCGTGCCGTGCGTGACGATGTCGACCCCCAAATATGGACATGCCCTCACCACTGGCAAACCTCGCTCCTGCATCGGCCCTGTCACTGCCCTTCGCGCCCACGTGGTGCTCGCCATCACTGCACCTTTGCCCTTGCTGTCCACGGAGAACTTCAAGCCCAGCTTCTCGAAGCCTCGGAAGCAGCTGTCAATCGTCTCTCCGAACTCCGTGACTATGTGCCTATGCTGCTGTCGCAGCCGCACGCACAGGTCGTCCACGTACATCCTCCAGCGCGCCCTCGGTCTTTCGGCCACCAGGCCATCCGCCGTGGCCTGAATGACCATCTTCAGGAAGCATACCGAGAACTTGCTACCCGCAGTGATGGTGGTGACCGTCTCGGTCTCACTGGACACCGAGTCCCCTACGATGAGGCGCCTGGTCATGGCGAAGTATGAGCACACCACAGCTAGCACCCCTGTGTTGAAATTGAGCTGCTTTCCCGCTTCCCACAACACGTGCAAGCTGACCTTCTCGAAAGCCTTTACCAAGTCCAGAACGGCCGTTACCGTCGCCTGCGTCTCCTCGCTCTGCTCCTCGACATCGCCCATCTCATGGCTGAACAACACCTCCCAGGGCGCGTCCCCCGCCGCCTTGCCGTAGCTCGTGCAATCCCAACTCCGATAGTTCTTCTTGGCCCACTCGACCATGTACGGCTCTCGCATAATCTCCCACACTCTGATGGCAGTGGGCAGAAGCCCGATGACCCTGTCCGTGGTGTAGGTCTTCGGGATCATGAAGAATAGCACAGTGCCCATGTGGATGGGCCAGCGCAGCGTCCGCTCCACCTCCACGTATAAGCCCAACAGCTTGACGTAGGCCTCGTCCGACGCACCCTGCAACATAGAGGGGTGCCACCTGTCGACTCCAACCCCCGTCTTTTTCCTGAAGGTGCGCGCTGCCTCCTTAAGCTTGTCGACGTCCTGGTCTGTGAAGGGCTGAGCTTGTCACGTTCTTCGCGCTCCCACGGCCGCTCCGCCTTCTGGATCTGTTCGCCGACCCTCCAGACCACGTTCCACTCCTTGAGGGTGTACTCAACTGCCTCGACGGGGCCCGCCGAGTCCTCCATGGAGCCTGCCCTGCGTGGTCTCCATACTGGTGCAGCCTTGATCAACTTGTGTAAACCACCCGCTGCTCCTGCTGCCGCCTCCTGCAACCTGTCTGCCCAGCGTGCTCGCCTCTCCTTGAGCAGCTTCTGGTCGTACTCCTTCATCTTGCCCTGGCTCTCCTGCATCCATTGCTGCAGCTTCACTTCCTGCTGCGCTCCTCGGAGTAGCCCAGCGGCCAGCAGTCCGCACCTGGCCTGCCACCTCCCCTGCTCCTTTGCGTTGACGTGCTTGGTCCTCTGGTGCGTGATGATGAACTGGTGCTCCTGCGCGATTGCCTCCTCCTGTCGGCGCCTCTGAATGTCGCCAGTTCTCGCCAGCTTGAGCCTCGCGCATGCCCCTTGCAAGCTCTGTAGCGTCCTCGCGAGCCACCTCCACCAAACTGCTTCCCTGGCGGCTGTCGGCGCGTTGGCACCACCGAAACTTAGCGGCTTGATCCTCCGTGTCGGCTCCTCGGCCCGCCCTGCTGCAGGGTGGTCGGGTGCCCATTCGAGTCCTCGTGCTGCGAAGGCCTCCTGCTCCAACGTCTGCATGTACTGCCTCCACTCCTGGTTGGCCACCTCCTGCGACCTGAAGCTCGCGATCTCTTGATACTGCGGCGGCGCTGGGGTGCGTTCGATGCCCAGCTCTGGCAGCTTCTTTGGCTTCTCCAAAACCCTGACCATTCGCTCCTGCGCCTTGAGCCTGAGTGTTAGCCCCACTGGCTTGTGGGGCGCCGACGGCCACTCCTCCTGCACTCTGACGTACATCACCTGGTTGACGAGGCTGTCCGCCACGATGAAGTAGTCGATCTCGCTCACGCCGTACGCATGTCTGCACGTACCACAACTGGCCCCTGACGCGACTACCCGCGCCTTGGCCATCTTGACGCTCTCCACCTCCGTCATCTTTTCAGGCGCCCCTTGGAAATCGCCCCCGATTATCCACGGCACGCCGGGCGCCTCCAACTGGCCTATCACCTTGTTGATGATCTCCGTGTTCCTGAACGACATCCCCTCTGCCGTCCACAAGTATACCGCCGCGTAGATGATGCCCTTGCCGACCGATAGCCATGCCGCTGCGGCCCTCCCTGGGCTGTTTCGCGGTGACAAATCCCACTTCTCCTTGCCAAACATGTACGTCATGCCGATGCACCTGGGCGCCGCAACCGCCACGCCCGCCGAGGTGCCTGCTTCTCCACCTGGACCTATCGTCGGGTTCGCTGCGACCCCGCCGAACTGGTACCCCTTCGCCTTCATGCTCTGCGGCACGACCGCGATCTTGTCGCCCGTGAGGCGATGCTCTTGCACTGCGTAGCACTGCAGCAGGCCCCCCTTCTGAGCTCTCGACCCTCTCTTTGATGGTACCCCACCCCGAGCCGTTGAACGTCCACAGGGTGAGGCTCTCGAACTTGTTCTGGCGGTGCCTGCTAGGAGCGCGTGGCCCGCTTATTGTTCTCCGCAAGGCTGGCGCACACCTCGAGCCACCTCTTTCGCTGTGCTTCGCTGGCATCCTCAGGCACCCCACCTGCATGTAGCCACTCTTGTTCTTCTGGCGACAGCTGAGGTCCCTGCTCGCGTCCTGCTTGCCCACCTCTGGCTGCGCCTGTGCCCCCGCTGCTGCCACCAGCAGGAGCATCACCAGCCTCTTCAGTGTCCATGCCGTCCTTGTCTTCCTTGGGCTCCTCCCTGACGTTGTCCAGCACCCTGGCGAGTGCTGCGAACACGTGCTCGTGCTCCTCTTTGCTGATGCCGCTTCCTCCGACGGCCCCTTCGTGCTGCTTCTGCATCGCCGTGAGGAAGCCTTTACCCTTGATGGAGACGTCCTGCACCTTGAGCTCCGACTCCTTGGCCTTTGCGACCTCGAGCTGCTCCCTTTTCTTGGCGAGCTTCTCCTGCGCCTCCTGCATTGCCTTCTGATGCCGCTTGACCTCGCCATAGATGGCCGCCTCCTCCTTCTCGAGATTCTCCCTGGCAGCCCGTGCCTTGGTGAGCTGGACCGAGTGCGGTTTCGTGCTTTGCTTGGCGTCCCTGGCCCGCATGTAGCGCTCATGCGCTTGCTGGTACTCAATGGACTGGTCTCCCCACTCGGATCTGCACGATTGATCCCACCTGAAGAGCTTATCCAGGTCCACGGGCTTCTCGTCGTCTTCATCCTCGTGGGTGGCGTGCTGCTGCTTCTTGAAGTCCTGAAGCTGTGCCCGCATGGTGTCCATCTGCTTCTGGAGCGCAACCTCTCGCTTCGTCGGGCCCAACAACACGCCCTTGTACGTCGGTCCTTTGACGTCCTTGTACGTCGGTCCTTTGCGTTGCGCCCGGGCCCCACACCCCCGACACTTCTTGCGCGTAACATAGTTGTCCGCCACGCCACAGCTGCAGGACCAGTAACCGTTGTACGAGCGCGGCCAGCCCCATGCCGCCATTGTGCGCCCGACTGCCGAACGGTAAACCGATCTGCCTGCCGCGGATTAGCGGTATCCCTTTGACCACCAGGGCGAATGCCCCGCGCGTTGGTCATCTTGAGCCAAAATGACTACGGAGAGGCCCCCAAGAGGCCCCCAAGAGGCCCCCAAGAGGCACCCAAGAGGCTCCCGAGAGGCCCCAAGGGGCCCCCAAGAGGCCCCCAAGAGGCTCCCAAGAAGCGCCTGAGAGGCTCCCAGTGAGGCCCCAAGAGGCCCCAAGATACCCCCAGAAGAGGCTCCCGAAACCACAATGGGCCTCCAGGAAGCCCCAAGGCTCCCATAAAACCTCAAGGGGCATCAAACTGCTCCCCAGAGGCCCCTGAGAGCCCTCCGGAGAGGTCCCAAGAAGCATCCATGAGGACTCTGACCCACAACCCAAGTACGTCTGGAAGCTTTGCTGGAGCTCTCTTGGGCCGTCTTGGCGCCCTCTGCGGCAGGTCTATCGGCTCTCTCCGACAGGGTGTGGGCCACACATCTCCAAAAAACTCCTCGAAGACAGTCCTGCCTGCCCCACCGTACCCCATGGGTACGAGCACACCACCATGCAGCCACTGTGATGCGAAATGGACTGGGCCGAAGCGATTCAAAAACTACGGTCGATCCCCGCGCCCGGAACCCATTGCGTTCTTCGACAAAATATGCTCCTCCCAGGGCTCGCACGCTGTGGTGTTGCGAGGTCTTTGACATCCACGGCCAACGGACCCAGTCGGGGCAGCGAGAGGCCCGAACCCATCCAGCGGAGGCAGGATGGGAGGGCGGACAAGGATGGCGCAGTGGCCTCGGCGTCTCGGGGCCCCGCCAAGCAGGGAGGTCCGAGCCCGAGCCCCAGGGCGGGAGACCCTGCGGCCAAGCCTGTGTCGTCGCAAGCCGCAGCGAGTAGCTCGAGAGGGCCGCGCCACCAAACTGCAACGCAGCCGACCCGAGGACGAACCAGCCTCTGGGCCAGCAGCGAGCGGAGCACGTTCCTCGTCCCCGCGCGGCTCGAAAGACACCGCTCTCGAGACGGAGCGGTCGAAGAGGTGCGCGGACGCACCGACCGAGCCCCCCCGATGGTCGGCGGCGAGCGGGGGGGGAGTGAGAAGAAAAAGGCCTTCTCAGAAGGCTCGGAAGTCCCCCGGCCTTCCGAGAAGTTGTCTGCGCCTTCCCCGAGGACGCCAAAAACTTCTGAGAAGACACGAGGGCTTCTGAGAAACCCCGCTGCCTTCTGAGAGAGCCTGCTCCTTCTCATTCCCCCCTTGCGCTCGCAGCCGGGACGGGGCCGACGGCCCGGCAAGAGGAGGGAGGTCGAGCGAGCGCCGAACCGTGCAGGGCAGAGACAGACGCTGCGACGCGAGAGGCTCGGAGTTCCTCGAGCTCCTCGGGGTCGGCGCCGACCGAGGAGCGAGCCTTCGGACCTTGCACCACCGATGGGCCGGGAGGGGGAGGAGACTCGAAGGGAGCAAGGCCCACCTCCTCCATATCTTCGTGCAACCAAAACGCGCGGCTTCATTCTCCTCGTGGAGATCGCAAGCACCCTCTTCTGGCGGAGGCGCAGGTGATCCCGCTTGGGCATCAAGGGGTTCCGTGGGATCTTGCTCCTCTTTGTCAGAGATTGCGGCGGATGTGCGAAAGACAATGTCAAGTCCGTCCAAGTCTGCACGCGCCCGATGGAAGCATTTGCGGAATCGGGCCCAGACTTCCTTGCGCCGAACGTCCCCCGCGGACCAGGACTCCTTGCCACGGTCTGGATCCGACGCATGCGCGCCGAGGCAAAAAAAAAAAAAACATGGGTCAGCCAACCCTCGAAGCTGACCCCAACTCGCGTGGGGGGGGGAACGCCCAACAAAAACAAACGACGCTGCCATTGCTTGCCCGCGACGACGCAAAGGTGCCCAAACGAAAACAACTTCTGAGGGCTGACCTTTAAGGATTAGACACACACACACGCACAAAGGCGGACAGGATGAGGCCTGGGAGCTCCTCAAGCACTTGCTGCACTGCCAGAGTTTGCCGACCCAGCCCCACGCGCGCCCAGCTACCCTCAGTCGAGAGGGACAACCTTGGCCCGCGGGGGCCCTGGCCAAAAACACAACATCTTCGTAGCTAGTTGAGTGGCGGCCCTGGCAAGAAGGATCGCGAAACTTAGCCTCTCTCGAAACTCGCCATCCATCTTTGGATGCAGACGGGCGCCCTGCTTCGCCGCCTCGTCTGCAGCATTATTGCCAGCAGCGTGCGCGCGCTCAGCGGCTGGAAGGGAAGCGTCATCCTCGCGATGCACCCCCGCCGTCCCCGGCGAAAACAGGAGCTGCTCTGCAAAAGCGCCTGCCTGCATCGCAAGCCCGCTGCAGGGGCGCCACTGGGAGAGCCACTCCCCGCAACACAACCTGATGAACTTGTGTAATCCAATACCCGGATAGCAGGGCGCCGAAGGCCGTGGAAATGCCTTTTCGAAGAACTCTGGATGGACCTTGGAGGAGTTTCCGAAGGGCCGTCTGCAGAGCTTTGATGCACGCGCATTGAGAAACGCTTGAACAAAGGCCTCTCGGGACACGCTGCAGGTTCAAGCAGCTTTCCCCCGGGATTTCTTATCGCAAAAAAGCCTGGGCGACCCCCAGGGCTACCGTGCGGCTCCGGCTTCACAATATGCAGCCCTATGGGCTCTCTACGAACTATCCGGAACTGATTCGCTACAACCTGGCAATCACTAGAAGACGTCGCGGCGCCAAGAAGCGCGTTCGCTGCCGACGTCGGGGCAGCGATACTGGCCATGGGAAAGCCGCCGCCGAGCGCACCGCACATGCGAGCAAAAGTCTGTCCAGCCCCGTCGACCATCACAGTCCCCCAGCCCGATCCGGGCAACTCTTGAACAGCGTGACCAATGCACGAGCCATCCAGAGAAACAGCCCTTTGAAATTCCCTCACCCCCTCGGGCAGCGGCCGAACCCCCCGGGCCTCGTGGGCCTCTGAGGAAAACCTGCTAAACCAACGGGGCCCATGGGGCCCCCGAGAGGCCCGGGGGCGCGAGCGGCAAGACGGGGGGAAAGCCCAATCGTTCAAAACCCGAACAAATTTTACACAGGAGGCGCCTACCACCAACTTAGATACGGGAGTCTTCGCCATGCGGGCAGTACCGCAAGCGGTGGGGGATAGCGTCTCCCGCCTGTCCACGCAGCGTGTACGCGTCCTCTACGCAGTAGCCCGCTTCGGCAGCCCTGCTGAGACCGTCTGACACGCCAGCGCCCTGGTGGGGCTCTTTTTCCCCCCGGGACACTTCAAGGGCGCCAGAGCGGCGTCGGTGTCGCAACGCAAACGGCCCACGCCGCGGCACTTGGGCCCAGCCTCGATTTCCAGGCCGCGAAGGACCGAGCTCTTCAGGACACGCATTAAAAGAGCGGGGGCGGGAAGGGAGAGATGCATGCTCGTCCCGCGGTCGTTTGGCATCGCGCATGGGCTGGGCATGGCCCAATCCAGCCCTCTGAGGGAGAGACGCATGGCCCCGATGGCCCCCCACGCAGGACCTCCAGGACCTCCGAGGTTAGCTGCGCGCGGCCGCCTGAAACACTCTCGCATCCTCCCGCCTCGAACACGAAGGGGGCACAATCTGCGACGACCGCAGCTCCTTGCAATATCTGACAACAGGTGCAATCGAACCGTGCCAAGCAAGGCCCTTCTCTATCCAGATGAGCAGGGCGTGTGATCTCCCGCCCGCCGAATGTCTCATGGCGGCGGCCGCTGGCCAAATAATATTTACCACCTCGCCGTCAACCATGCCGCGCGCCTCTGGGCCCGTTGGGCGCGCGAAAAAACCTGCGAACACACGGGAACCTTAGTGGCCCGATGCTCCAGCGCCCCGCGCCGGCGGACTGGGCGCCCGTTGCGCCTCGTCGCCGCAGACAGCCAAGGTGTCGCCTTAACATTTCTACCCCTGACACGGTCACTCGCCACTGGGGCGCTGTCGATCCCGAGGTCGGCAGTGGTCTCGCGACGGGGCCCGACAAGGGCCCCGAACACTTTTCCACGATATTCCGAAATACTTCGCGCGGAAGACACCAACGCGATTCTGTCCAGGGGGCTTGGAGCGCGAGTCGCGACAGCGATGGCACGCTGCAAATAAGAAGCCGGGCCCGTCAAACCCCGCGCAAGCTGATCGGCCGCGCCGACCGAGTTCAGCCCGGAGCCGATGAATATCGAGCGCGGCGGAGGGGCGGAAGGGGCGAAGGCGCGCAGTGTCGAAAGTTTCGACACCGAAAACTTTGATCATGCTGCTCGCGATCGAGCGCCCCACTATCATCCCGAACGCGGCGAACTGAACAGGAGACGCCGCCCCAACCAGGAACATGAACGCAGCCGATCGGGGGCCCGCCGCGCAGACAGCCATCACGGCGAGGGGGAGGTGAAGCCACTGTCCTCGGGACTCTAACACAACGAGCGGGATTTGCTCGTACCACTCAAGCATAGCATCGAAAAGCCGACCCGGCCTCGAGGTCCGACGATGCATTCATCTCCGAGAAAGCGCCCGCCTCCAGACGGCGTCGGTCGCCGCGCGGTTTTGCCCCGCAGCTCGGCGGGGCCCGTCGCTGGCCTCCTCCCGGGCCGAAGCGCAGGGCCGGCGGATGTGGCCCCACGCCTTGGACGGGCTGGGGGGCACCTCTGCCGGGCGGAGGCCAGGGGCAGCTTTCGTCGTCAGGGCCGCGATGCGGGCCTGGAGCGGATGCGACAAAATACCCGATGTCTTGACAATCTGAATCCGCCATCCGAAGCCGCGCAACGCCGCGACCGACGGGCGCCGGTTGCGCCGAGCGCGGAAGCCATCCAGGCCAACGGCCGAACGCCGAGAATAAGATCGCGACGCGGTCCTAAACCGACCCGCCGAAATCGCAAGGAAAGCCCCAATCTTCACGCCTCCAAAGAGGAGGGCCGTCGACCGCGTGCCGCAGATTACCGGGCAGACGTGTCTCTTGCTTCGGCAGGGCCTGAGAGTC